CATAACTTACCTGAAATATAGAACTGCTACTAAAACTGCGGTTGTCCGATTAAGGTAATGATATTCAGATACAATAGAGCATTGCCCAAAGATGTCTTAGACGCATCTACTTCTTCTTTCTCCATCATCATTTTCTAAAAAAAATAATGTGTGATATTTTGCATTGAAGATTATTGAAAAGGCCCTCACTGTTGCTTTCATCAAAATATCAGAATGATAGGGAAACGTCATGATGAAGTGAGTAAGTCAGCGTTCTACATAATGTAAAAAACGAATATTTGAAATTTTGTAAAACATCTAAGATGAATTAGATGTTATTTTTAAAAAGTATAAATTTTTTATTTTATTCTCAAAAATGACAAATTTGTGCAATTTTTCAGATGCGTTTTTAAGGTAAAAATATCATTTCAATAGCGCAGTTTTAAATACGTGAAATATTTTTGAGACTGGCTCCTCACTCTTATTTTTTCCAGAATACCAGGGAAACGTCATGATAGAACCAGTTAGTCAGCGTTCTACAACATGTAAAAAATGAATGTTTTTCAAAATGTCTCAGATATAGAACACAAAAGGATAATGCCACAAGTTCTCCTCTAGGGAGATACTGGGCCGTAAAGATGTCGGTTCTTGTCAAATAAAAACAATTCATTTAGATCGCTCGGAATTGGCTAACCCCAACACAATGCCTCCAAAAATTAATACACCACGATAACATTTTTGGTTGAGTTTTAGATTCGTCTTTCTCAAAATCGATAAACGGAAATACATTTCTTCAGCTAACGCATTAGGCATTTTCAAAATAGTATTTGGGCCCTTACTATACGGGATGTAAAAATTGTTAGCAATATTGCACTAGGGCTAATGCATCCCTGGCGTTTTAAGTGCATCAATTGTTTTCCGTGAAGACCACCAAATCCAACTCCAATTGTTTATTTACTGAGCTGTCAAAATTTCGATGAATGATACATTGTCGTTCAAAAGATACCCAAGAAAAACCGATTTCCAGTAACGCCAGTTTTTATTTTCTCAAAAATTTCTTATTTTAATTAACTTTATACAGAATATATAAAAATAGTGATACCTACTATAGATGATTTTTCAAAGAGTGATGTGCAACTTTGGCGGCATAAGCAGTTTCGAAGACTCGCGTTGAATACTTGTGCATCCACACGCGGCTTATAGGTATCCCTATACGATGACGAGTATGGTTCATAAAAGGAGACCAAGATATGTTAAACCCCTTACAATACTTGCTCAAAAAGTTTTTTTGAAAATGAGCAGGAGAGACTGAAACGAACGATTTTTATTATGTTCGTTTATTGTTTATAGCTTGGCCGCCAATGTATCGATTTTCAAAACCTACGGTTTTTCGTTTTTGGGGCCAATGATTAGCGGACAGACAGACAGACCGACAAAAATGGGTGACAAGGTTTTTCATTATGTACATGTCATATAACATAAAAAAAGAGAATATCTCAATTTCGTAATTTGGCAAAACATAAAATCTATTCATATTCATATTCATGAGTATACAGGATGTCGCATCGGCAACTCCATCCATAGATTTTTCAAAAAGTAGGCATATGATATTTTTGAAAATTTGGGAGTATGATAATGTCGATGTGGCAACGGCAGATAAAATATCTTCAAGATGGTGGTACTTCCGGTTATACCGGAAGTTGATGCCAACTTGCTTATTTTGAAATGGTATATTACTTAATATTCGGATTCTACATACAATTCTAATCACATTAAATGTAATCTCTTATACTCAAGTCTAACCGTTTTTGAAATATTTCAAATTTTATGTCAAAAATGACGTCTGCAGGCCCTAAAATAATTGTTTATTTGCCCTATGTACAACACCTTAATGTTTAATTTGGATTGATTTTCTTATAAACAGGGATATAGTTTAATAGACTTTGTATGATATTTCGATAACTATTTATATAGGGTGGTCAAAAAAGTAGTATAAAGATTGAGTGTCAAAGATTGCCAAAAATTAGCGTAACTTTATACAGGGTTATTCTATTCCAAAAATGTTTACTTTTCGAGTAATTTGCAATTTATTACTTTTCTATTGTAAAACTCCTGTAAGTACAGATTCAGTTTTTTAATTAGTTGGTTATGACGACGGGACGCAGATAATAAATAATTGAGCACTACGAAAATATCACTACGTCTAACTTTAAGCTTTTAATAATATAATTAATAATTTTCATCTATTCACAATCAGAATAATATGAAGACTAATTATGATAAGTTTGCTAGTAGATTTTCCAACAAGCACACATACAGTGAAATGAATAACAGGAAACAATAAGGTATTTCGATTTTTATTTAAATTTCATACTTTTATAAAACAAAGTCAAAACATAACAAGCAACAACTTATTTTGGTAAATGTTCAAAAGGACCACCTCCAACCTTCAAACATTTAGAACATATAACACGTATTAACTCCTGTACTCATGATGAGTGGCAGTTCTTATGATTTCCGGACTCAAACTAGCAAATGCGTTTTTTACTCTCTGCTTACAGTAATCTAGCGTGGTCAGTGGGTTCTGGTAAACAATATTTGTTATTGTCCCCCATATAAAGTAGTCCAAGACTGTTCTGGTGAACAGAGCGGCAACATGAATGGTCCATTATTAGCAAACCATTGATCGTAAAACGTAGCTTCTGGGAAATTGTTTATTAAGTATCCGTTGTGGGGTGGGGCACCGTCATCTTAAAAGAATACATTTCGATGATCAGAAAGTAGTAAATTATTCAAGTAATTGTTTTCTAAATTCCGAAGAATGTTCAAATAACCCTCACCTAAAAATATTATTGGGTATTAATAATAATAATTTTTATAAACGCATAACGTTTTCTTTGATATTCAAATATTTTTAAATGAGATAAATTAGTACTAATGTTGGCAATGCGGACCTTATGTGTTAAAAAACTTATACTACTGGTATTTGCATATTGCACATTCTTGTCAGTTTCTTTAAAAAAAAACTGTTAATTGCTAACTTACCATTTAAATTTTCTTCATAAAACTGAAGAGAGACAACTTGATTACCTCTGACAGCTCAGTATTCATTGAATTACCAATTGTATTGAAAGTTTCTTTCTCTTATTACATGAAGGTTCTCGTTAGCCCAATAAGGAGAATTGTGTCGATTGAAAAGGCAAATAATATTTTTCAGGAAAGAATGATTTTCTTGATACCTTGTCGGACTAATGATAGCTTGTATGGATCAAAATTGTGTTTGTGCAAAATTCTGCTAATGGTATCTTTCGTAAAGCCTGACTCTCGTGCAGCTTGTCGTGAATACGTTATTGGAAAAGCATAACAATACCCCAAAACTGCTATTTCGATGACTTCATTGTTAACTAAAGGCTACAAACAACCGAAATTTTTGAAATTTTCTATTGCTTGCTTAGCCGTATGTGCGTCCGGTCTTCTTTTTTCTGGATATCTATAAGCGAACACATCACATGCACTTGATATCATTCTGTTGCATTCACCAAAAATAATAAATAAATTGAAATAGTATTCGTAAGTGAAAATTAAACGCGCAGGCATGATTATTAAAAATAATAAATAAACTGTCAAATGAAGGACATTATTATAAAGTGACGTTTTTGTAGAGCGCAATTGTTGGTTCCCCGCATCCCGCCGTCATAGTCAACTAATTAAAAAACTAAATCTGTACTTATAGGAGTTTTACAATAGAAAAGTAATAAATTGCGAATTACTGGAAAAGTAAACATATTTGGAATAGACAACCCTGTATAAAATTACGCTAAATTTGAATGCTGGATGCGATGAAAATAGGGGGATTTCATTCGGAAAAACCGAATGTTGGAACATTTTGACATTGATTTCTAATTTTTTGACCACCCTGTATAAATAATTATCGAAATATCATCCAAAGTCTATTAAACTATGTTTATCAGAAAATCAATCCAAATTAAACAATAAGGTGTTCTACATACGGGAAATGAACAATTATTTTAGGGCCTGCAAACATCATTTTTGACATAAAATTTGAAATATTTCAATAACTGTTAGACCTGAGTATAAGAGATTATACATAAAATGTGATTAGAATTTTATGTAGAATCCGAATATTAAGTAATATTTTCAAAATAAGCAAGTTGGCATCATCTTCCGGTATACCCGGAACGGCCACCATCTTGAAAATATTTTAGCTGCCGTTGCCCCATCGACGTTAGTATACAAATTTTCAAAAATATCATATGCCCACTTTTCGAGAAATCTATCGATGGTGTTCCCGATGCGACATCCTGTATAAAACCTTCACTTACCTATGATATACTATAGGTATAACAATTCACCAATTTTCCAGTCTTATTCTTTATTTCGTTGCTTTTGTTTCTCCACTCCTTCTTCAACCTGAGACCTGCAGTATTAGTATTTTTGTACGATAAAAAGGCTATTGACAATTTTATACCTATTATACAATCGCCCAGTCACTTCGCAGAAACTAATCGACTCTATTCCAAGTAAGATACGTAAGATGCGTTTGCTAAATTAATTTTTATATTTTAGATAAACATTAATGTTTTTTAATTAAGATTAATCTTGAAAACATACCATTTCCAAAGAAACACTATAAAGAGCTCCAATCTATCTGGGCCAGTTCACATAAGAATAGAATCGAAGTACTAATAAATAATAAGTCATATTTGAATGCATTTTCAACTCAAAATTAATCTTAAAACATACAATCCAAAGAAGCAGTATAAGGAGCTTCGATCTATCTGCGCAAGTTGACATATTTCCATATTAGGATAGAAGGACTAATAATAAATCATATTTGAATACATTTTATGACTATTTGTAGTAAGGCCCAAGCTATACAGTTGACAGGTGCTGTTTCACTATGCGTGCATCAAAACTCAAATGTATGTTTAGCCCAAGGGATCAGAATAAGAATTTTTATTACAATATGAGACAACGTCGGAACTAGGTGTCTTTTGTCCCCTCTTGAAACGAACATAACCTAGTGAAAACTATAGCGATACAATTTTGTAGCAGCATATGCGGCCTTAGGAATTCTCAGCGGAAGGAGGAGGGCCATCCATCAACAAGAGGTAACTTTTGTGTGAAAGCAATACTACCTCCAAAACTTTCTGAAGCACGAGGAAGAGCATATTTTCTCAGGCAGCCAACTCCTAAAGAGCTCCAAAATTGTACAAAAAGAGAAAGTAAAATATGCAGATCTTAATTGTATGAGTCTGTTTGAATAACTTGATCCCCTTAATGTTTTTGTTCTACGTGTCCGTAGTTAACTTTTATCTCGCAGGGGCCAGCTTGTGCAGAACATAATACTTTACGAACTCTTGAGAAAGTTGCGTAGACAGTGCAGAGTCAACCTACTTGACGCCATTTATTCAGAATTGCACTTGTTTATATTGTACTTTGTGCCGCAACGACGTGCCGGCAATGGAAACCTTCTGCAACATGATGCGGCTTAAGCATTGATGACAAACATGCGGCAACATGTGCTTCAACACACTGCAGACTGTTCACATTTTTGTGGATCTGAGCATGCTCCTGGCACAGTTTCTCTGACAATTGAGATTCTCGTCTAAAACAAAAGAAATAGTGTTCTGTGATATGAAATGAAAAAAAAACAAGCCTATGCTATAGTTGTCAGACGACCAAAGAAGCCATCAGAGTAGGATCAATAATTTTCATCATTTTGTTATTATATACTATATTAAACATGTAGACTGTATATGTACTTACTACGGAAAGCGTGATTACTCAGTACTTTTCAAAAAAGTCCCTCTGCTTTACACTTCTTTCAATAACTTTGCTGCCTTTTCTCATTCTTATTCAATCTTCATTTTAGTTCATCATTTTTTTTTTTGGAAAGGTAATCCTTATTTATGACCCTCACAGTGAGCCGTGCCGATCTGCTGTTCGCTTTGCAAGCACCAATCTGAACTGAAATAAGATGTTATTACTATTTTGGATATTATACTCGTATGACATTTACGTCCGCTAATCCTATAACCGTCTATAACTTGAGAAGTACCGCTCGGTTTTCAATAAAATTTGTAGACAATGTTGCTACAATGCCAAGTACGCAAAGTTTAGTTGTTGAGAATTGAAAAAATATCGCTCAAACATTGTTTTTTCACGTTTCAGGCGAACAAACTGACAACAAACAGTTTCCATTTTCAGTTCGTTTCTCACACAAATACTGACAGTGGACTGAATTGTACATCTAATTGCATCCTGAGTCCATCCTGAAGTCGGTGTAACTTTTAACGATGTTAACGATTTTCATTTCGGAGACTGTGTGACTAAGATTTTGATATCCATAAGTTGTATCAAGAAGTTGTAACTGTTCATACGCCCAGTGACAATATTCTCAGGACACAGATGACCGTCAATGTATATTCTAATATGCTAATACTTCCTCAGCTATAGTTATTACCATCTCTGTGTCTCAAAGACTGTGACACATAAATGCCACAATGCCAAGGACGTAAGGGCTTTATAGTTTTTGGAAATCGGGCAAGTGGTAGCGGAGGAAGAGACCTAAACCAAAAAAAGTAAGAATCATTCAAACATTGTTTTTTCGCGTTTCAGACGAACAAACTTACAACAAACAGTTTGTGGGACTGTTCACTTATAACGCCGTTTCCATTTTCATTTAGTTTCTCCCACAAATTTTCACAGTGGACTAAAATAATGCATCTAGTTGCAACCTGTCTACCTAAAATTGGGAGCACAGTTGAAACTCTCTGACTGCCGGCAATCTATGACACTATATGTATGGATTCTTCTAACGATGTTTTCGTTTTTCAGTTCGAAGACTATGTCTCTAAAATTTTGATATACACAAGTTACAAATGAAATCATACACCTAGATTCGACGTCTTTACAAAAATTGGGGAGCTTAAACATTAATCTTTGTATAACAACGATAAAATATTACAAAAAACGTACCTTTCCGGTATTTTCTCTTCTATCGTTGTCTACACTTCCCAACTTGAAGACTGTGTCTGACAGATTGTGGTGCACAAAATGTGCAACTAAAGTTATAGATACACTAGACTGTGTGCCAGTCAGACTGGATATCATAAGCTGGTGTGACAATCGTTGTCCAGACAAGCAATCCTCTAATAGTTCGATAGCGTCATTCCATTTCTTCTTCAGTTCTCAGTATCAAAAACAGTGAGACTGAACAGATACATGTCAATATATATTCTAATACTTCCTGATCTGTAGTTATATCCGTCTCTGTGCCTCACAGAATGTGGCACACAAAAGTGGCATCTAAAAAACTAAAATTATTCATAAAGTTGCACCACTCAGTGCACCAAAACTCGGTAAGACTGACAAACGTTATCCAGAAAAAGTTGTTCTCATCCTTCATTTCGGTGCAGCTAGTCTCATACGGTGAGTTTGAATATGCCTGTGTTAAAATGATAATGGATTACTGAAGACACAGCGTTTTGATCTTTTATCGTTACTTTCATTTTTCATTTCGGAGACTGCGTCTCACAGATCCTTGTACACAGAAGGGTACACACGGACGTATTTTGAGGGAGCGGTAACGCAACGTCGACGTTGCGTCGACGCAGACAGTGTTTTTGAGATAAGTTCACACGAGCCTACAATAACGCATGCAGCTCTCTCGACGCGACGGAGGTAGCAAGATGGATTTTGAGCATGAACAATGTGATTTATTTGCATATTACGTATATAAGCATCATATTTGTAAAAAGAAAAGAAAACACTGGGTACACCCTTATGTGAGTGCCCGTTCATTAAAGGGAGCATTTGTTCGTGATTTTTCGGATCTGAGAAATCACGTGGAAAAGTTTTTCAATTATTTTAGAATGAGTTCTAAATCGTTTGACGAATTACAATTACATGATGCCTCCTCACTTCTTTAATCAATATTTCAGTATTTACATCAGCGTCCGTCATTTTCGTTGGAACGTCGAAATGTTGCGGCGAAACAAGCCACCGCACGTCGGGAACATTGGACGTCCTGTGCTTGAAAGTCTGCAAGACTGTGTTGCGGCGACGCAGAATTACCAAAGGTACATACTTTTTCGACATTTTCTTGTCTATCTTATCTATATTTTTCGTTTCGGTGACTGCATTTTACAAGTTCCGGTGCACAGAAGCTGCAGCTCAAGTCGTTTATCAGAAACTTATACAAAAATCTGTACATCAAAATATATTAGACCGAACATGCAAGATTTCCTGAGAAACAGATATCAATTTTATCTTTTCTATTCCTATCTATATTTTTCAATTCGGACTGAATCTTCCACATTGTAGAGTACGTAAACTACCAATCAAGTCACTTCTCAATATAAGTTATTGTATTTTGTAACCCAGAATCGGTCAGACTGAACATGAAACAGACCTATTTTTTCTCTTCTATCGGTATAATACATTTCTCGATTCGCAGACTGTCTCACAAATTCTCGGCCACAGAAAGTGCAACTTAAATGAAATTCGGTAAGACTGTATTGATTGTCGTTTATACTACGAGTATAAGTCTTTTCAGTGGGTCCGTTTTGTCAAAAAATGATCTGTCAACTATGACATGAAAAATGACAAATACCAGTTTTAATAGTTTGAAGGGGATCAGCTACCAAATTATGTCAGTGATTCTCCAAAAGCATTAACAGCTATGTAATTATTATACATACTTACAATATTATGCATAATTGTATTAGCTTGTTTAGATAGTTACAGAAACTGACAGAGAAGGTTATACTGACAACGAAAGTAGTCACGAAGATAATGAAGATATCGAAGAAATCTATATCCAAAACTTTTTTTAATCTGCAATGTAATAATATTAGTTATTATATTAAAATATAGTTATGCACATAATAGAACTATTTTTTTATTAGATTTCTTACTATAAACAGTACTGTCAATGGCGGACTCAGAGGAGGACGAGTTTCCCCTCCTAGACCCCCAATCCTGCCACCCTTCCCAGGGGGGGGGATGCATATCTTCGAGAATATGAATGCTACGACCACCACTGCGACCCCCTCACTTGTACAGATCCCAAAAAATGCTCTTTCCTCGCTGGTTTCCTCCTATACTAAACAACCGAACTTTTCAAAAAAGGTAAGGTGAAAGTACGATGACGTACTATACGTTTTTGAAATCACAATTAAAAACCCTATTTATCTGTGCAAGAAGCCAATATGTGGAGTACATAAGAAAAAATAAAGTTGATGGTAGAGGACAAGAGACGATACGTCATATTAAAGTTCTAATTATGCCATCTTGTAGATGAAGGAAAGTGTCAATGTTAATGTGCAATGCATTTTGAGACTCCACTATAATTGAAGTCAGGAAAAAACCAAACGATTTTGACAACATTCGTTGTTTTCCATCTCTCTCCGGCAGTACCTTGAATTTCGTAACATTCTAAGTGCAATTTTGTTATCCACCTAAATATGCAACTTTGCCCATATTTAATCTTTTGCGTATCTATTACAGTTTCCGAGATCCCAAGTGAAGGTACACTTTGAAACACCCTGTATATAAAAGCGATAATATACATATCAATCACGAAATAATGGAAACTATTTAACCTACAAACATCGATATTGACAGAGAGGCAGCTTATTAAAAAATTAAAGAGCACTTGCAAGTTTGCTTGAAATTGCTTGGAGTCTCTCTTTATATCTAAAAATTGGCAACGATGAAGTTCTGTTTAGAGTAGAGATACTAAGACTGGATCGAGTAACAGCTGGTCTGAAATAAACATGAAAAATGCATCATTCATCCAAATCGCGTCGGCCGTTGCGAATTTTGCCACTGCAAGCAAGTCACTTATCAGTTGTTTCTCTAACTAAGCTCGAACTGCAAATTGTTTATATGTCGGTTAAACATCATCTTTAAACAGAAATTGCAAAACGGGCTAAATGATATTGCAGAAATCACACGGGAAAGTCTGAATTTCAGGTTTGTCAGTGGCGTTTATAAAACTTGAGTGCCGGTGGTGGCGGGCTTAAAGTAGATAAAACGTACAAAATATACAAACCTTCACTTTCCAATTAGACAACATTTTGAGTTCCTTCTAAAACTCCGAAGTGGCGGTCCTCAAAAAATATTGAAAGGAATATCATTTTACCATTGAAAATATGGCGTCAAGTAAGTTGACTTTGTACTTCTCACGCTACGCTGTTCGTAAAGGATCACGTTTGGCACAAGTTGACCCTTCTGAGAAAAAAATTACCTAGCTCCCCCAATGCCTGCAGCCACAAGCTAT